TGGATCCATGCCAGTTTAACCATACCACCAACTTAAAAAAAAATACGAGATTCTATTTTTATCTTCAACCCTGGTCTTAGATGTGTATTTGCTCTTTCCTGTCATGCTCGTGCTCGTACGAGCAAATGGAAATCTAGAACTGAGACAACCAAGATATTGTAACAATGATAAGATCGGGTGCTACTAGCCTTGGGATTATGAGGGCCAGCTTGAGTCTTCAGTCAGGCGAGCTTCACAATATTAGCAATGCGGAAATAAAAGAAATGTCCCTTCTATACAATCACTAGATATTCGTCACTCCAGCTTGAATATGATATGTAACTCAAAATAATCTCATTTGGGAGAAAGAAAATAAAAGAGAGGAAAAGAGAAGCCCATTGAGTAGTACATCTAGCGTTTGTAGCCGTGATGATGTTATCTATAACTACTCAACATTGACAAAATACAAAGAGCTACAATTGATAGAGAGAAAAGCTGCGTGGCTCAGATAAACAAATTTCAGAGCTAACCCCAAAACAGTATTGATGATGTGATCTTTTGTCAAATTTGTCAAGGGCTTAGATTTAGCTAGAGTAGGTATAGCGAGGGCGACAGTCAACGAGCCCCCTGTCGCTGCATAATGACTCAATTTATAAAGACACCCGAACATCAGGCCAAAGTAAGCGAGACGGTTTGTTGCTTTCTTTTCGATATCAAGAATCACGATGCGCTCATGACTAGGAGTAACCATGCCATGTTTTTCAGCATTCCCCCGACATCGCAGGCTGGCATTCGCGCTATTGTTTTGTATTGCTATTTGGCAACTCAATTCACACCTTAGCTACGGTTCTGGCCTCTATAATATAGCCACTTGTCGGCACACTGCTGAAAAGCATCAGATACCCTCCCGTTCATTGACAAAATGCCCCGTTTCGTTGGAATCACATAAGCAGACAGATTCCTCCTACACTGGGTTAGCGCCAGCGTTATCTCCCACAGAGCTCCTCTGTCGATCAACAGAACCTCAAACAGTGGGCATTCCAAAACTTCTTCATCAAAGTTGGAAGTCCAATAATTTACCTGCTAAATTTAAAAGATGGAGTGATACATGTCGCAGGCAACATCCAGACTGGGAATGGGTATTGTGGACTGATGAAGATAATCTCCAACTTGTAAAAGACTACTTCCCATGGCTTGAGGAAACCTTTTTAAGCCTACCTGGGAATATTTATCGGGCAGATTTGGCACGGAATCTCTACATGTACATGTTTGGCGGGTGAGTTGAAACTACACTTCAAGAGCGCACATTTAACGATTGATGATTCTTAACCAAAAGAATAGCATATATGCCGATTTAGACACGGAGTGTCTGCGCCCTACATTCGATGCACTCCTATCAAACAATATTTCGCTGCCTGGCAAGTCGGAGAATAAAATCACGGATGAAAGCTCCATGAGCCACGTCGCCATATTCGGTCGCATGGGCTCTGATCCTACTTTTGCTCACCATCTGCCGAATGCGTGGATGGCAGCTTCGGTTCGACATCCCTTTTTTCTTTTGCCGTTGGAATTTGCAAAAGCCGAGATACAAAAGAGTAAACGTATTTTGCACCAGTTGTGGTATGATTATCCATCAGCAGAGCAACTGACCGGGCCTATTGCGCTGGCGAAAAATGTTCGGCGATATCAAGTCTGTGGCGATACACTGGATAGCATAATCTTACTGCCTGATGGTCTGATATACCCCTTCAATTGGAATGAAGGCCATGAGATACGATCCATTTGCTCAGCTGAGCAAGACTCCTTCAATGAGAGCCGTTGCAAAGAGACGTTAGGTGTTGGCGTTATAGGCAGTATATCCATAACATATTGGAGCCACACTCACAGAGGCAAGGGTTCAGATAGCGAAAACATAGACCGCATTAGCCAAGAGAAATAACAGTTTGGTACTAGAAACTCCTCAACTATAATACAATGATCCGTTGAAGAAGAATTGCTGCGACATATCACCGCGCATTACATGTACATTGAGCCATGTCCAGTGTGGAATATTTAGAAATACGCTAATCATGACTTTCTGGCATTCAAGTCAAGTATTCTGCGGGTCGCATAATATAATGACAACTGTAGGCATGTTGTTGGATCAACCAGTTTTCTATTCGCCAATGTTTAAGCGATTATACTATTACGTATATATGACTTTTTAGAAGAGGCCTCTGTTTTTATTCGAGCTCTCAGCTAGATGGAGAATCCCAGAAGGAATTTTTTAATCATCATCCGCCCTAGACATATGCCCAACTCCAACGGCGCAACTGCGTAGTCTATTATCACCACCGAATGAGCAACCCAATCTTCATAATCAATGCGCCTGTTCAAGGTCGCTGATGAATCATACAGTTATTAAGCTATAGAGTTTCTTCATTTGCCTAATTTATTATACAAGCAGAAAAGAGCCGGACTTGTTACCTAATAAAGCTTCAAGTCGGAGCTTGTAACCCCTCCACAAAACGGAACAATTACAATGGCACATAAAGGTGCGATGCCGATCCTTCTTTTTCTCCTGCAAAACACACTATGGAAAAAACACTGACGGTTAACTCTAAATATGTTGATCACAAACTTTTCCGGACGGACACGTAAAGATTATATCAACATCCTCTTCATTTCGGACCTTATCCATCCCCAGAAGATCAGGCGCGTGGCTTGAATATCCAAATTGGAATGACATATTAGTTTAAGAGCTGGTACAATATAACCTACGATTGAGAGCACCACGAGACGCTCCACAACAGTTAAGGGTACAGACGGCAGAGATTAATAACTTTCGATATATACCAGTGACTAATGGCAAATAATATAACGATTGTTCAACATGCGTTAAAATAAATCATGGATATATCCCGGTTAGATCCTGTCAGGGGCCAGCTACAAAGGAGACGCTCCTTTGTTCATAAATCGCAGTCAAAGGCGTCAGAGTTCTCAACTAGCAAGCAAGCCGGGCTGCCGGGCTGAACGAGGTCTAAAAAGGAACCGCAGGCCCGTTGTTTTCAGAGATAAATACAGTTCTTTGTATAACCCCAGCTATGTGGTCCGTGATAGTGACTGTGCAACCCTCACCCTTGACTCTTTCACTCTTCCCGTTGCGCTACCCTCTGACAGATCCTTATTACCAAGCTTCCTTATCAGCCGCTGGAAACTGGCTAGAATGACAGACTCTTGAAGCCAAATTGTTCATCTTGCTTCTTCATATTATGCGATACCAACGCGTTGATCGAACGAATCCTTTCCAAACCGAATAATCAAGAGAAGTGTTTCAAAGAGATCATACGGTTGAATCAAATAATTCGCAAACTCATTGGTATATTCGTGGTAGGAAACGATTGACTTTGAAAGATTTGGCGGCAGTGATGTCCATTTTGTTCCAGATGGAATGTCCCATAACCATGTGTGGCGGCTAAACGGCAACGTTTCAACAAACATAGAATGAGGGTGGTAGCCAAATCTAGTAATATGGTAGACACCTCGAATCAGATAGGAGATTATGATGCTTCGACGAACACTCTCGGCAAACGCCCACGCTTGCCAAGGACTTAGTTCATCTGAAATCTCGCTTGGCGCTTGTTCCCATACATGGCGCGTCCACCGGTTGAGAGTGTTGATATGTGCGTCTGCAAATCTTCTCTGTTGGGGATCTTTATCGAAAAGACAGATAAGTAGGTACAGTATTAACGACTGAAGAGAAGCTAAAAGATCGCCAAATGAGCACAGCGTGGGGTATTCCTTGACGAGTTCATCAACCTTTTTGTACAGATTCTGAAAACAAAATGGTCTACTGTTTTCTTTCGAGAGCGAATATGACCGACAGACACCATACGTGCCCTTGATCTGCTTCGGTAGACTCTGGCTGTATAATGATGAGTGAATGAAGGGAGTTTTTGCTTCGCGGGAAAATGTTAGTGGGAATGCTTTCAGCTTAGTCGCTAAATAATGAACGGTCGCGAGGTCTTTCCTCCACTCTATAATAGGCAGTGGAGGTTCGTAGATGGCTAGGTCGGCGTCCGTGAGTACTGAATAGCACCACTGCTGAACAAAGTACGAAGGCGTCCTTATTTGGGAGAAGTAGAAGAATTCCATATCGCGCAACGATAATCTTCTACGAGTTCCGATTTCTATGCAGTCTCCAGCTCCTTGACAAATCTTGGACTTGCCGCGTAAGAATTGTGGCTGGTCCCCAGCAAACGAGACCAATGGCTGGTTCACATATGAGCACTCCAGACCTTTGTTAACACATCGTTCACATTTCGGTAATCCCACTTTGCAGCGCCGCTTAGCTTTGGCGCAGGCATGACAGGATCTGGAAAGAGAGATGCTCTGCGTTTTCGGCATAGGAATGGCGCTTCTCAGTCAGCTGGCTGCGCTGTACTGAGTAACCCCCTTCGTGCTATGTTTTCACTGTCGCAGAGTCGCAGGTAGCAGTATTCACGTATGTTGCAAATATGGTTGCGCCAGGATCATTAAAGCAGACTTCATCCCACTTTGCGGGAACTTTCCTATAAATAGTTTAGTCCCCGCCCGGCAAACTCTGGCAAACGTTCCCGGGTCGGATATATTAAGTCATTGCTTGACATTATGTGGTCGTTACCACATCTATTCCCCCAACCGGTCAGCAGCTGATGACCCCCAGAGCAAATACTTACGTCAATCCATCCCAAAGAGAACTATGTGTGGTCCTGTCTCTGTTTCTTAACCCGCTGTATTACGAGTCGAGCTGGGTCTCCCACTCGGAATGAAGTGGGAGTGAGCAAGTGACAGTTACTCATGCTGTATTTCCTCGTGTGGTGTACTTATATAGTTATCAATATCCTCTCACTTGTATCAATATCAGTTTTCGTACAGTCTAACTCTGAGTCAAGGCGTATTTTACTGCTCCTTCCAGCTCTCTCAATCTTATCTCTATACGCTTTACTGCCTGCCTCTCATATCCGTCACACAAACTCAAGAAAAGAGCAAGATTCTTTACAATGGCGTATGACTCTTCGCAACTTATTTCTGCCGAGTTTCCTTTTGAGAAACGGAAGCTAGAGATCCTAGGCAGTCAAATTGCCTATGTTGACGTCGGCGCTTCTGAGGGATCTGCCACTGTCTTTTTGCATGGCAATCCTACATCGTCCTATGTTTGGCGGAACATCATTCCACATGTCTGTGACAAGAGTCGCTGCATTGCACCGGACTTGATAGGCTTTGGCGACTCAGATAAGGTCGCTGGGCTTGAATACAGAATTGCGGACCACCAGCGATACTTGGATGCCTTTTTAGATGTTGTTTTACCTACCGAAAAAGTCACCCTTGTTGTCCACGACTGGGGTTCAGCACTTGGCTTTGACTGGGCACGCCGCCATGAAGATCGAATTACCGGGATCGCGTTCTTTGAGTTCGTTCTCCCTGCACCGAGCTGGGACGTGTTTCCGCCAGCTGTCGCGGAAAACTTCGTACCGTTTCGTGATCCGAAACTTGGGCGGGAATTGCTTATCAACCAAAACGTTTTCATTGAAAGAGTTTTGCCTCTCAATGTTTTGCGCAAGCTATCTGAGGAAGAGATGAAGCAGTACCGCTGCCCATTCCTTCAATTGGAGTCACGCGAGCCACTATGGCGGTTTCCTAATGAGATTCCGATCGAGGGACATCCTGCTGACGTGTGGGATAAGGTCACTAGGTATATAGATTGGCTATCCCATACTGATATTCAGAAGCTCTTCTTTTGGGCCGAGCCGGCGGTCGTCATTACGAAAGATACGGTGGAGAATTTTGTCAAAAAGCTACAAAACATAAAAATTGTGCATCTTGGACCTGGTCTCCATTATTTCCAGGAGGATTATCCGCATACCATGGGTCGTGAGATTGCGCAATGGCTATCACAATAGAAGCGAAAACAGCAAACCAACTGAAGATTAGAAGTAGTATTCCTCAATTATATGACCTCCTTGTTTTTGTGCTTGCAAATCAGATTTTGTAATCATTGTGACGTCTCACAACTCTTTATAAAGCCATATTTACCAGAAGGCTACCCGATGTTATACTTCCAAAGCAGCTATAAGTCACAGTAAAGAGTAATTTCTTTCAGTCTTGAATATGCGATTGGCTGTGATATACTAATCTCGCCGGGGTCTCCTGCCGCTTTTAATATTAACAAGACCTTCAGCGATGGACATCTTCATCTTGAGCAGAGCCTGCATCAAATTCATTGATAATTGCGCCTACGCTATCCTCCTACGCTATGGCACTTAAAGTGTAACAGAAGTACTGTTGTTACATTGTCCAGACCAAGCCATGAACTACCCTGATCAGTATATAACGGTATCCAAAGTTTATTGTCAGATCATTTGGAGGAACTGTTGAATGGCATCAGCTACATCCTTAGGCTTCTCAACTGGGATCAAATGGCCGGAACCCTCCACTACAATCAGACTCGCCCTGCCACCTGGCATATCGTTAATCTTGTCCCTGATATCAGTTTTCATTCTCTCGACAGGCTCGAGTATGTCCTTCTCTCCCGCAAGTACCACAACCGGGACATCAACATGTTTGAAGAGATTAGTGATGTCGTCTTCCATACCATACGCCGGCCACGAATATTTCGCCCACTTGTTCCCACGGACCATGTCTTCGGCTACCGCCTTGATAACTTCATCCGTCAAGTTCCCTTGTGCCGAAAGAAGAGTGCGAATAACCCCCTCTGCATTTTCCATGTTATCAAATGCATGTACTTGGGCGTCTTTCATACTAGGATCCGGCAAGTGAACCGGGCCGGGGGGTGCGGGCCCGACGAGAGCCAGGCCTTTTAATACACCCACAGGCAGAAGATGCCTTCCAGCAATTGCCATTGATATCTTGCCTCCCATTGAATGCCCAACAAGCACAACGGATTTCAGATTCAATTCCCTGATGATAAACTCCACATCGAATGCGAAGGTCGGTAACCTTGTAAGCCGTAGGCTCATCAGGTCCGGTAGATGCCCCCCAGCCGCGAAGGCTGACACCAATGGTTGGATAAAACGGCGACAAGGTCTCAATGACCGGCCCAAAGCTCTTTGAAGAGCCTCCCCAAATATGGAGGAAGATCAGAGACAGCGTGTTCTGATCGGTGCCTCCAGCCGGCACGGTTAGCGAGAGCTCGATCTCAACATCGCTACTAACTCTAATAAACTTAGACGCAGTAGTTGGTGTCATGTCAAAATTTGAAGAAAACAGATTGTGTGAGTTATGATGAAATGTTTATGGATGAAAAGTCGTATATGATCAGAAGTCGATCTCAACCCTGATGCTTTGAGAATTCTTTTGCATTTCAGAGGGCATTAAGTTGGTTTTATATCCCAAGGGCGGTATAACGATGAGTTGAAATGTCCGAGATAGCTCGCCATAAACCAGCCCATACCTTCTTCAAATCACCATGGCTCATGTGGGAGACCGACTTAAGTGCTTGAACTAATAGTTTTGTTGCTTTTGTTTACAAAGTCTTGAGCTTGGAGTAACGAATAGATTGCCTTCGGTTGTCTGGAGGAAACCTTCCTTTCCCCTAACAGGCTTAGTCTCCGCTTCGAAGCCAACGGACGATTGTCATTCTCTCCGATCAATCCAAGAGTGGCAAACATCTGCTATCCACGCAGTGGCCACAATCGAGAGTTATAATTCCCAGGGCCAAGAGCCAAATAATGAAAACGTCCGGAGAAGCTGTTCTAGTTAGCTTGTTGATAATTGATGTGAAGCAACATTTCGAAAACATCTAGAACCGAGCCTCACGAAGCGGACGCGTTCGGCATCACGCTAGTAGGCCGAAACAATCTGCACGACGGCATAAATTACCAATAATACATCCTTGGTCAATTGAATGCTCTGCATCGGCCGTTTCGTTTTAGCTCGTCGATTTGATGTCATCGCGAATGGTATCTATGTTCCACGGCCCGTCCCAAAGTACCTTCTTCCGATTCACAACCATACCCTTGCCATCGATTTGGACTCCCTCGTCATGTAGAATTTGTATCTTTAGACTAAGCTTTGTGCCAGCAGGTTGCGCTGGTGACATCTCTGGCCCGCGAGGCTTGCTCTGGTGTGCAGCTCCCTGAACAAGCCCATCTTTTGATCTTTTGAAGTTCTTTTTATCAATGCTCTCACCATCAAATCCCGTTATGAAACCGCTGCTGCCCACACACCTATGGCATGGGACTTCCGGCGCGAACGGGTTATTGCGTAGAGCGTTGCCAACTGCTCGGGGTGAAGTGTTGAGCACGCGCGCGATGGCGCCGTAAGTGGCCACACGACCTTTGGGGATTTGAAGTAATAGAGCGTAAACTTTCTCTTGAAACTGAGTGACCGACTGAGTTTTGGTAGTTGAGACACTGAGTGCATCCCTCGCCATTGTGTCCTTCTCTTGGTATTTATCAATGCACGTTTTCCTTAGCCCTCAGCCGTACATAAAGCAGCTATAAATACGCCCTGAAGATTAATAATTTCCTTTGCCCAGGGACCAAGAATCACTTGGGGCAAATTCCAGTGACTCAGCGTAACGCGAACCCTTTATTAGCTTGGCAAATTCACGGTCAAGAACGTGGACAGTGCAAGTTGTTTCCTCATCTTATTACCGCATCTATGGTTTAGTTAACCGTGGTGACTAAGCGAAACGCCTAACGCTGCTGCACGGGTTCGCGAAGTATTTGCACTCTCTGGCGTTATGCCACTCGACTCGGTCGACACGTCCCATCTGCCAGCACTCCGAGCATCAACTTGAGTAGCAATTATCAATACACTCCATACATATAATAGAGATTGGGGATGCAAACAGTTTATTCACATGTTTAAGAATGTGGCTGCCATGGATGACTCTTTTGAATGCCTATTACCTAATTCGCCGATATGCGAAAGAAAAACGGTTCACATGGATGCAAAGCACTATCTCGCCGCAACGACAATTGAAGCGTAATGTTATCGGATATTATATGAGCCACAAAAGAAAACACGTAAAATATTTTATTGGGATCGAACGTCCTCTCTCCCGGTTCAATCTAATGGCTGCCGTTAAAAAAAGATTGAGATTATAGGGTAGCGCGCCTTGCGTTGGCCAAAATTACATGGAACTGTCAAAGGTTTCCCTTCTCGTGCTATACCGCGGCGCGGAATTCTTCATACTATACATTTCCTGCTATTGTCGGCATTTGAGCATCGCCACCGGGCCTCTTATGTTGATAATTCCGGCTCTACTTTGTATGGCCTACGAAAGACACTACGATCTCCATTGCCGGCCTTTTATCTTCATGCGTACTTGGTGTCTACTAATCTACATGTAGGTACGGTAGCCTACAGAGTAGATTATGAATAAAGTTTTTTATTAGTAAGAAAAAGAGCCCACTCTGCTACCCCCACCATTATCTTCATCGCGTTAGACTGTGGCTCGATTACTCAAGTTCTAGTATGATTCATGGAGCCTTCAAAACTCCGAAGAGTCCGCTCCCATGGATGCCACATGCTTACATAGATTATCAACTCTTTTCCAAAGTGCCCCATACTGCCCTACACACCCGGAAACATTGAAAAGAATTACATGCTGTATACTTTATCTCAACCTGGCCTTCACAAGCAGTGCATACCTTCCGATTACTAAGATTGAGACTTCGAATGTCTTTCTTACACTTCAGAGTCTGAACTCGAGATGTAATCCATTCTACTATGCTTTCCATGATATACGCCAAATCCGTACCACAGTCTATAACAACGCATCCGAACCTCCACCCATAGAAAGGAAAGAAGGCAAAGTGCTCCAAAACATGAGTGCCGGCGGCTTTGTATTCATCCAAGAGGAGGGAACTGGTTCACATAAACCAGTGACCAAATCTCTTATCAAAATGCATGTTATGGACAGAGTGGTGATGCAGAGGCGGGCCCTCAAGGAAGAGCACCGTGATGACGAGACGGATGCAACGGAACGGCAAGTCGCTTTTCTCTAGCCCTCCCAGCGATGTGATAAGACTTCGATTGTTAACGTAGCTCATAGTGATCAAAATCCATCGGTAGAGCATCGCATTAGTCATAATGACTTTCGATCTCTTGCTGGAATAGAACACATGCTTCGACTATCAGGCCTCTCTGTAGAAGTCAATACTCAAACACGATTCCTCTTACACCATTGTAAGCCAAGCACGTGCCAGATATTGCCCAGCATGCAATGTAACTAAGCCACCCCAGTCCTGAATTATAGGTCGAAAACCTTGTGTACTGTTACGGCCGAAACTGGATGGCTGAAATATGCTATTAATGACAATGCTCTTTTTAGCACTACTCTGTATCACTGGGCATCCATAAACTATAATGCCCTCCCTCCAAAGTATCAGTCTGCACAGCATTTGCTAAGACTGAAGGCGGCTGCAATACAAACGCTGGCCTTGCGCCTGCAGCAGCCTACTAATTGTGCCAATGGCAACACTGAGATGGTCAGCGACGCGGTGATAGCCACTGTGGCATGCTTGGCAAATATAAATGTGCGCTGCCCCTTCTGTTGCACGGCATCATAGGACTAACTATCCAGCTTATGTATGGCGATTTGGATGAAGCCGAGATACACTTTCAGGGGCTGAAAGCTCTCATTAGAGGTTGTAAAGGTGTACTTCATCTGGGATTTGAAGGGCTTGTAGCTCGAATTGTTAGATGGTAGTGTTTCCCGCCCCCTGAACTGTAAAACGTATCTAACTCGAGGTAGGACGGACAGTTGCCACTCACAGCTATCGAACAAGGAGTTGTCATTTGACGAAACCAGTCCCTCTTCAGAATTCGTTCACCCGCAAATCCCTTTGCTAGACGCACAAAAGTTTCACATCCAACCTCACAAGCTCGCAATTATCCATGAGCTGCGCTTAATCGCGAGAGAGTTAATTACCAACCCGAAAGATAACATGGCACCGGATAGCCGAGTCGCACTTGGGTTTCGACTTTTGGCATCGGATAGGTCGATACTGAAACACGTCCATGGTGTTAACGACTGCAGTGTTCTGGCCCTCGTAGCCAGAGCCGCGTTGCTCTACTCTCATACGGTATTGAGAGGCTCAAATAGATCTTCTCGCATCATAAGCACTTCGATTGACCAATTGAAACAGTTGATTGTTTCAGCATTTGTTTTAAGAGGCGACATCTTCGCCAGCCATCCCACCGCACTAGTCTGGGTACTTTTAGTCGGGGTGGTTGCTTCAGGGAGAGAGAACATCCGAGGAACGTGGTTTAGGCTGTGCCTAGAAAAGGCCTGTGGAAGTGATAGCAAGCTTTCTTGGGAAAAGGTTCAGGCGACAATTGATGCCCCTAACAACATATCACCGCAGCCATTCTATTGGATGATTGAAGAGATACCATTGCATCTGCCCTGTATAAACTCTGCAATCTTGTGTTGAGATTGATGCTATGAGTTTAAGATTGGGAGTTTGTTGCATTAGGCGAAGTGGAGGGGTTGGTCACTTATATATCTGATCTATTTTAATAACTGTAGCTTTCATACTTGCCGGGCAATCATTTCTCATTTCCATTGCCCTTGACAACTCCTTCAATACAAGTTCATTGGCTCTACCCCCAGGCAGGCTGGTCTCCCCTCCACCTTTATATCGACACCTAGCTTCTTTGAGAAGCTGGTGGGGCTTTGCCGACTGGTAGACCATGCAGAAGTAAATGGTTCTAGCATTATGGTAAGCATATTGATAGGCTATCTTCTAGACTTCAGCCTTGTTCCATTCCAATTGGAGCTTCCTCTTCAATTGGCAAACGAATCAAGGGAAGTGGTGGGGTTCGCTGTGCTTAACTTCTCTCCACCAATGTCTCGATCTGGCTACGTTGTCAGGCGTAAAGAGTCAAATCAAACTTTGCATCACTAGAGCATCGGGCGTTTGTCATCTCAACGCCAATTCTTTCACAACTTCGCAATAGTATTGAGAATGTTATTTGTAACATTCGTAAAGAATGCTGCCTGATATGACTTTTGTTTTGTACATACTTATATGTTACTGTATCAAAGGCCGGTGGGTCTACCACTTCTGCCATGAAGTATAAAAGCATAGTAGATGCAAACCTCTTGCATGGCACTCAACACGCATCTTTCTTCTTCAACCAATCTTGCAACACACACCAGCAATGTCTGTAACGTTCACAGTCTTCAAAGGGTCTCCTTCCAAGAAGATCACTGAGAGCCAGACCACGGTCCCGGCCTTGCTCAGTGACCAGGTTTTAATTAAAAATACACATTCTGGAGTGTGTGGCACCGATGCACACTATCTTCACGCAGACATGGTCTTGGGCCATGAAGGAGTTGGAATTGTTCAAGCCGTGGGCGACGGAGTTAGCCTTGTGAAAGTGTAGGTTATGTTGCCTGCTTGTTATTGCGATAGATGATCTGACTAATGTTGCAGCGGCGACCGAGTTGGATTCGGATACGTCAAAGATGGATGCAAAAAGTGCCAGTACTGCTTGGAAGGCTACAACTGGCACTGTGTTGAGGGCATCCGCGGATTCGGTTTCTCCAATTTTGATCAGGGATCCTTCGCAACTCATAGCGTGTGGCCAGAGACACGTCTGGCAATAATTCCTGATGAGATCCCTAGCGTCAACGCAGGTCCATTCATGTGCGCCGGGCAGACCGTCTTCGTCCCATTCTTGCGACAAGGCATAAAACCCTCAGACTGTGTTGGCATTGTCGGCATTGGTGGCTTGGGCCATCTTGCCATTCAATTTGCAGCAGCATGGGGCTGTACGGTTGTTGTCTTCTCCAGTTCAGACAACAAAAAACAAGAGGCCCTCGACTTTGGAGCCACTGAATTCTACAACACTTCGGGATTGAAGGCTGCAGATGTTCCCAAAAAGATTAACCATCTGCTGGTTACCACCAGTGCTGTTCCGGACTGGAAACTGTAAGTTTCACACTATCACAATCGTCGTAAAGGTCTTATTAACTTACACGCCGCTTAGGTACACGGAGCTGATGGCACCATTTGGTCACATATACCCACTGACAATTTCGGAAGGCAACCTCGAGTTTCCTTACATGCCAATGATAGGAAAAGAGCTATCAATCCACGGTAGTTGCTCTTCCACTCCCGAGGAGGTTAAGACAATGCTCCAATTTGTAGTCAAGCACAACATCAAACCTACCATTGAGCGATTCCCCATGACATCAGAGGGTATCACAAATGCATTTGAGAGGCTGAACAGTGGAAAGCTACGTTATAGAGGTGTGCTTGAGGTCTGAACCAAAAGGTTTAACTAGTAGAATATATCTGTAGCAGTAGTCACTACACAGAGGCTAAGCTGCCGTTGAAGACAGAGATATTGACTTGCCCATATTCCGCGAGTAGCATTGTGATATCTACCTTTTACGAGAATAAGTCTTTTGTGAACCCTGCATGAACTGAGGAGCAGCCAATAGGCACACTCGTCAAGACGCGAGCCGATAAACCATTGAAAGGGTTCAAATTTCTGTGTCCTTTGAAGGCCATTAACCTTAGTTTACGAGCTTGTACCTCGGCCGTGCTGACATCAATCAAATACGAACAAGTATCTGTCATTTCCAAGGCTACCCCACTCATGGAGGAGAAGTTCTATGGCTACGCGTGCTCGTATCCATGCTGTCATATTGTGTCCGTAGAGACGGGGAAACGCAAGATAGCTTAGTTACCATATGTAGAAGGCCAGAAAGTTATTCGACATACCTAGCAAGTGCTAGTACAATCTACAATGCCATCATTCATAGAACAGCCCTGGCATTCAATGCAGCCTTATGGGGCCTTTTCTTTGGTGAACTTCACCAAGCAATGAGACTCGTGTCGCGTCTGTCTCCCTAATTCCATAAGAGCTTCTGTGGAAACGTTAGTTTCCACAAATCACTTTGATGACGAGGCAATATTTGAGACCTTACAACTGAGAACCCCTCACGCAAGACTTTGGAATATCCGCCTGAGGATATACGGATCCCAAATCTGTATCCATTCTCGAGACAAGAGTCTGCATTGATGATGTCAGCTTTCGATTCCCTTGTCTCCAAAGTCAGATCTATTGGCTTCGGCCCACCTCCAAGACTCTAGAAATGTTTGCAATACAAGCTACAAATAAATAATTGCTCGTCTATCAACGAATTAAGGAAAAGAGAAGAAAAGTCAGCCTTGATTTCAGGATATTACGCGCTGTTTGCGCAATGACCCGTATCGGCGTGAGAAAAGTACAGGCATCTCTAGGTCATCCATCAATACAAACACAGTCTGTGGGGCCGCACTGGTCCGGAACTCCCGTGGTAGTCCTGGTGCATCTTGGCTAATTCGAGCCGGTGGCAAAGGCAGCCTAGATTATAGATATGGATCTTGGTATAGCACCATAACGAGCAGTTTTCTGTTTATGTATCCAATGCCTAGAGAATTCTAGAGCCTGTGAAGGTACGATGGCATTAATTTACATGACTATTGGTGCCTTTGGCTCTAGAATGAAGTCGTTGGCATTATTGCCACTTCTTGCAGTTCTTTTTTTCAGTATTAGACAACTTTCAGATCCAGCTAACGGTTATACTGATAAGTAAATGGTAATTGTAGGGTTTGGGTTGCACGATTTGCAACGCCATTCATGACTTATTCTTTCACCCTCTTCGTAAATACCCGGGACCATGGCTTTGGGCAGTTTCCGATGTTTCATAATCCTTGGTATCGAGAAGTGGCAATGCGCATAAAAAGATGCTTCATATTCATGTCAAATATGGACCAGTTGTGCGTGTTGGTCCAAATACCGTATTCTATAGCCATCTAGATGCCTCTAAAGAGATTCGTGGTCACCGCAAGGGCAATCGAGTAGAGCATTTGAAAGATCCCCATCTACACTCCGGTAATCAAAGTAATGTTATCGGTGCAAACCGGAGAATCATATTCGCTACAGAAGAAGCCTGGCTCATGAATCTTCGCATCAAGCTATGTTGGATCGAGAGCCCATCATTAATAAGTATATCGATGCGTTATTAACAGAGCTCAAAACACAATGCGCCAACCAAGGAAAAGTCGACGTTGTCAGGTGGTATAACTACACCACATTCGACATCCTTGGAGTTTTAGCTTTTGGTGAGCCCTTCTACTGTCTTGAGAAGTCAGACTACCATCCTTGGGTTGCGATTGTCTTCTTCGGGGTTAAAAATCTATCGTTTATATTGGTGTGCTCAAAGCACGGAGCTCTTGGAATGATGCTGGCACTCCTTCCCGTACTAAAGGATTTACCCACAAAGGGCACAGAACACCGCAGATTGTCAATCGAGAAAAGGCGTAGGAGGCTCGATTCGGGATCAAGCCGACCGACTTTATGACGGCTATGACAACGACACGAGGATCTGCAGAGGTACAACCGCGGCGCAGAGAAAATAAGCGGATGTGTATAAATAATTGATGCTTACTGTAGGAATTAACTTCAACGAATTGGCATCAAACGCCAGCTTGCTCATCGCAGCTGGTTCGGAGACAACCGCTATAGGCTTGTCAGTAGCAACTTACTATCTTGGACTCTATCCGGAAACCTTTAAAAAGCTGGTGCCGAAGTTCGCTCAGCATTCCGCTCAGAAGAAGAGGTAACAATTATCAATGTGCAGCATCTGAATTATACAAGCGGTGATTGACGAGGCAATGAGACTGTTTCCCTCGGCGCCTGGCACGCAGCCTCGCATCATTTCTCCCGGTGGTGACATGGTTGTCGGCAGATACGTCCCGGCTGGTGTAAGTGGTTTCTTTGTCGTGATGTATATATGGCACTATTGGAGTTCCCACGTTGTAACGCATGGATCTACAGACTATAGTTGGAGTATGGCAGTGGGTGAATCACCATAACCCTGCCCATTTCCACGAAGCCGAGTAATTCATCCCTGAAAGGTGGCTTGGGGATACACGCTTTGAGAATGATAAAAAAGATGCATTTATGCCATTCTCTATTGGGCCGCGTAACTGCATTGGACGCAAGTAAGTGACATTGGTGCCAAGATATCCCACTTCACGGAATAAAAGATTAACAATTCGGAAGTCTCGCATACGCAGAGATGAAATTGATTCTTGCAAGAATGGTGTGGAGTTTCGATATAAAGCTTTCGGAAGAAAGCATTGGGTGGGATATGAAAAGCAAAGTCTATATGCTATAGGAGAAAGGGCCTTATATGTCTACCTTACAAAACGGCAAGAGGTTTAAGAAGCTTGGAGTAGCTATAAAAGATATAAAATTGCTTGTGGCGGTCACAAAAAACTCGAGGTGTAAAATAAAGGTAAAACAGTCTCGAATTTCATGCATTTCAGAGTGTATGTGCTTCAAATTGTATCAAGCCGTAGAGATAGCATACCCATAAACTCTGCTGATGACTGGTGCCGTAAGTAACTCATTTACAAATATACTACATATGATCCATGCATTATATACTTGTAGACCTTTGTTTCTATAGTTTCTGACCCAATTTACTCTTTCGTCTTCAAAGATGCAGAAGTCTCAGTGGTTGTGCGAATCGCGTCACCTACTCTTTTCTTTTCCTTTCCTTTATGATCCGATTTGCGTATACACTAACTGCACTTCTTTGTGTACTGTCGATGACTGGATTAGCGAATAATTTGCCGATCAGGTCGTGCGCCGCTTACTACTCCTATTGTCGATAGTGCATATCCATGTGCTCAGAAAGATAAAGAACAGGGACTGACTGTGTTACAATCACTACTCCATGTTTTGATGCGAGGCTACGTCAAATGGCCCTTCATGATTTAAATAAAATTGATTGGTGGAAATGCTCTTCATATGAGAGTATCTACGACTACATTTCGTCATATAGTCCACTTCATTTGGTGTGATTCATATTACAATGAAAAATCATGTAATTTGTCAGAGACCGAATCTAAACCCAGCTCCTGCTTCTCACTCTCGTCCAAGAGACCAAGCGCTTGTCGCCTTGTTGGTGCGTTAGGGTCGAAGAAGGGCTTCTCAGCGAGCGATGTCACACGCGTTCCGTGTCTTGGGTGTTTGCCCGCGTAGTCCCAACTGGCATTGTGAATGGTGATTCTGCTCGCGAATATTAGCTTCAGTTCATTTATGTCCACTTCATGGGACTATGTGATTGAAAGCAGGCTAACCGATTGTCCCACAACACTGAAGTGCCGGGTGTCCACTTCCACCGAAGCTGGATATCAACGTTCTTTTCATACACATCGTATAAGTAGTTTAGAATAACGTCGCTTTCTGCTCTATCGAGACCAACAATGCGGTCAGTCATCGATCGGTTCACCCAGAGAGCCTTCCATCCCGTCGCTGGATGAACCCGAACCAGCGGGTGAGTGCGTTCGACGTATTTGGGTCCTGCCTCGGGATTTTCTCGATCTAGGTATGGGTGTGCAGAGCGGTACACAGCGTATTTTCCGTCGATAATCTTGCGGAAATCGGGAGAGAGCTTCTCATATGCCGAATATCCACTAGCCCACAAAGTGTCTCCTCCAATAGGTGGCACCGTGTCGTTGTGTAGGTGAGTGATACCTGCAGGTTGATGTTCATGGACAAGGTCTGTGTGCCAGCTGGATGCTCCCCCAGGCTTTCGGAAATTTGGGGGTTGCTCCGTAGCTCGAAGGTCAGGCCAGATCACTGTTACCCCTGCGACTCCCGGGACTTGTGGCACTTGAGGCTGGAGGAAGGTTAGTATATAGCACGGGGTAAGTTTAGACAGTCAAACAAACATGAATCTCAACCTCCCCATACCACTCTCCTAGTTCTTTTTGCTGTTGAGGTGAAATGTCCTGGTTACGGAAAAAGACGACGCTTCGCTCGGCAATTAACAAAGCAAGCTCGTCCCTTTGCTCGGGAGTGAGGTCTTTGAGCTGTAGACCCTCGATTTCGGTGCCAATGTTGGTTGTCAAGTCGGTGATTTTGGTCGCGGCGGCGAATAGATGCTTCTTAGATTTATCTGCCCTGGCTCCGGCATCGACGTATTTCCTGTCCGCGCTTCTAATTTTATAAACATCTTGTAGATACAGAGGCCTAGATGGCCTATACGGATAGCCATTAGACAGATCTATGCCTGCTTTCAACAGCCGTTCCCGAGCAGGACCAGGGAGTGGCAGAGTATCTTTCAGTGGTTGTACCACATCCGTGATGGCAGGATCGATGGGAGCGGGATCGATGGGAGCGGGAGCCATGATAGATAGTATGCTTTGGACAGGCAACTGTGGGATATGATGTCAAGTTGGAATAATTTTAGTAATGTGAAGA